AAGGTGTTGAGCCGAAAAACAAAAATTTGGTAAAAATTGTTAAGCAAGGAAAAACTGCTGTTTCCTTCGATTTCATTATTTTGACGAGAGCCTGATTCCGCCACGCTGCCTCACATATTGTATATTATATTCCTATCGAATGTCTGCCGTTTGTATCTGTTCTCCCTCTTTTCTTTGTATTTTCCTTTCTGGTATACCTCTACACTTCCACTCTTATGAGAATTATTTGTCCTGCAAATGCCGTAAAACTCTTATCAAAACAATTTACATAAACATTACCATAACCCTTACCCCATCAATACCGCTTCCCCCTTCATCTTCATTTCTTACCACTTTCCACCCACTTCTGACCCTATATGAAAAGAGGGGGGGGGCACAATAAGTTGAATAAGCACTCGGTAGCCTAGGCTAGGCCTACTGTTGAAGATATCCGCCCCCTGTCGATGTTGCCCACAGCCCCTGTCAGTCAGTGTTCTTACTCTTTCAGCCTATGTCGAAGTTGCCCCATGCAGGGGGTCAAATTTGCACCACCCCCTGTCGAAGTTGCCCCAAGCGAGGTTATGCCACAAAATCGTGATTGGTTGAAAATTCGGAATGCAAATAGAGTAAAGAACATAATAATCGAGAAGCAGAATGGCTGCTTGACACAACGATACCAAGATAGTCTGTGTTCTTTCATAAAGGCGGGAGCAGTATCGGTTACTTTTGCGGCACTACACAAACCTGTCGAAGTTGCCCCAACTTACACTATGATGAATAATAATACAAACACGATTAAACCAAAATTTTGCTCCATCATTTTAAATAAATAACCTTAATTCATATAATCAATATTTCTAACTCTAGGTGGATTGAAATGAAACTAAGGATACCAAAGTTTCATTTTTTGCATCTGATGAATATTTTCAAGTTAGAAAAAGGCGTGTATAAAAGTATAAATGAGGGATGAATCACTGTTCTTTTTCTTCAAGAACGAAAAGCATGCGGCTATGGAACACCAAACTTTAGATGGGTGTTTTTTGGAGCTTCTTTGCCTAAAAATTGAAACAAGTGGAATCTCAGGAAACTCAAATTTTATTTTTAGGTAGAATCAAAAGTGCGACGAATAAGAGTGGGCTCTGATAATTCCATGAAACAGGGGTCAAATGATTCCCGAAAGCCAAAGCTAGGTTGAGACTGTCGAAGTTGCCTCTTGGCAGAACTTGCCCCACACTACTTTTGCCGGCCTAGCCTATTGGACATACCTCCCTGATACATAAATACCCCCTGCAGACAGAGGCAAAACCATTTTGTGTTGGATGCAATACTTACTTAATGATCAAGCATGTATATCCTGATAGAGTGTCTGGACTTTAGAATGACGCAAAGGAATTATTTTGCAATAATTTAAAGAATTTGTTGTATATTGTTGATCCCAACAGATTTCTTGATTTTATCGAAACCATAGATATTTACTCCAAAATATGCAAAAAGTGTTGTTTTTTAAAAAGTAAATTATCTTTGTGCTTTTATAACTGAATTTTTGTCCTCGGACAAAATTAATGTTTCTATTGTTTTTTAAGTTAAGGAGTGATGGAGAAAAAGAAAAAGGCTGACAATGGAAGGCTATACAGAAGAACCATGTGGAAAAGGGAAAAGACATGGAAAAACTGACAAGAGGAATACCACTTGAAAGTTTAAAATTGTTGTTTACAATGATTGCTGGCACTTATAATACTTACATGTGATCAGATATAAACCACACTCCTCTGTATTACTCAAAATACTGGTGATAAACTATTATTTTTATTGCAAACCTCAGATTTAATGTACAATATACGTCTCAAAAGAGATCCATACTAATTTGCATGAATATTTAAAACTAATATTATTCTGCTGTTTTTTAAATCTTAAATGGCCGGATGAATAACTCTATTTGATTTTTCCCTCAATTTTATTAGTTTTGAGTGATTTTTCAGTAATGGACATTATAACAAAGTGAACTTTCAAGGTTTTTACCTTGTTGCACTATTATTAAACGCCCACTAGTCTGGCTACTATGTCAAAGACTTTATCTCTCGTTCTCAGGAAGTTGTGTGTAGGCCATAAATTAGGCAGTTCAGTGAAAATTTCAAATTGCATGAATATTTACAAAAACATACTTGAAAAAAGGTCATGCCCTCCAGATAATCACGCATTTTGGATTATATGTAAATACGTTTCGTCATTCAAAAGTTATTATAATTTTGGGGATCGAAATTTTTGCCTTGATTTGGTCCATCTTTTGCACCGTAGAAAAATGCATGATCTGCAAACATGTGAAATCTCGTTTAAACAAGACTAATAGATTAAATTTTACGTTGATCTAAAATTTACATCGTTTATTAAACAAAATATTTCCACTTTCACGGCATTGATCTCGACATGGAGGAGGCCATTGTAAAGCTCAGGTTTTCCTCTTGAAAATGATGTTCGTATGTCATAAGTGTTCAGAAAACGTAACAAAAAAGTGAATGGTTTTGGACCCTCCCAAAATTCGATGCATCACGACCAGGATAAAAAAAAACTGGGGCAGTGCAGTGGGAATTCGTGCACATGCGTTTGCGTTCACTGAACTGCCTTTATAAGTTGCATATGTGTGAGTTATAAAATTTCTTCCTCTATGTAGTGAAAGCGTCATTCTCATTATCGCCATCAATATCTTCATCGTCATTTTTATCATCATCTTCATCATTATGCGGTGGGTGGGACTCAGAAATCAGGGTAGGTAGAATTCAAAGGTAAGATTTCCTTGGTTCAGAGGACTTTCCAGATTTGTGTGAATATGTTTCATTCACACACTCACCCCGCAAACGCGCTCATAATGACCTTGTACAGTTGCAAGCGCCATAAAACACTAACCAAAAAAATTAATTAAACACGCATGCGCACACCTACAACTGTAACTGGATTAGGCCGTGGGGTTGCAGAAAGCAAAGCATTCCTAAAACGTGGGCCTGTGAGCGTGTTTTTGTTGTAAGGTCCTTGGTCTCTGGGAAAAGTGTGTCATCTGGCAGAGAACGAGCCCTCTCTAACAACAGTTTCCACGGGCTCTCATTTGTTTCTTTTACCTTTTTTTCAAAGAAAGTTTCATTAAGAAAGGACCATGGGAATGGGCTCATCCTTTGCTGAGCCCTAAACACATTTGATTGGCTGTTAGGTTACTATCGTGACTACAGTGATTGCATAAATGAGCAAGCGTGTGTGTTCACCGCATGCAACTAAAGGCGGAGGCGGAAGATTCTGAAACAGTTCTAACGGTTTCAACTGATTATCTCATTATTTAGAAGAAACATTCGTTTACGGAGGGAAAGAGCTTGGGGTGGGGGAGGGAGTGGGTGGGTCTCAAACCCTTTAGCCCTTCATTACGCCCCCCCATTGCGGAAAGTTCATTCTCTTTTTGCTATTTCTTTTATTTCAGCCAAGATGAGCCGGTTGCCAACAGGACCTCGTAGTGTCCACATCCAGAAGTCTCAGGGTGCGGACACCAACATTATGAAGTTCTACATCACTCAGAACTCTACAACATATGGAGCTCGCTATGATAAATTTCAGCCTCGTCAGGGGAGGCACCGAGGGACTGGATATCTGAGCAACTTCAGGCCTGGAGTGTATTACAACAGACGGTTAGATGATGTTGATAACCCTGCAATGAGGTGAGAATTACCATTGCTATTAATTGTAAAGCATTTATTTTTTAAAGATTTTTCACAATTATGTTATATTGTATAAAAAAGCCAGGTTTTATTTAAGTTATCAACATTTCTGTTTGCTGGTTTCACTGTTTTGTTCTGGCTCCCTGCTCAGAGAGTTGTTTAAAATCTGAAACATGATATTGTGTACTCAGGAATAGAGGAAAAAATGTATTACTTTTCTTGCGAGGGTCATACCATGATTGAAAATTGTGTCTTTATACTGAGTTTGAGAACAACATCTTTTCATGTGCAGAGTTTTGGTAAATAAAATCATGTAGAATTTGAAGCTATCTTAACTTCTGTTTCCTTCACCCAAGTCATAAAAAATATGTCTTTGACACATTTGTCTTCTTCCTAGGCGTATCTGTGATGGCAACTACAGATCTGTGACACAGCTAGACTTCCAGCCATACCGTGACCCTTCGGGTCTTGAGGCCTTACCCAACAGTGTTCATCAAGTTCCCTCTGGCTTCATCAGGCAGAAGCCTCTGACCATCCCCATTGATAACCAGGTAAAACTGGCTGTTACAAGCTTGTCCTGGACGCGTTGATTATTACTCCAAGGAATGCTACACAGTCTCCAGTTCCTCTGTGTTGTGTCATTCTAAAATTCCGACAACTGAAGCAGAGATGTGACTTTGAGAAAAGCCTTCCCTAAACACGAATACACGTTAGTGTGTACTTCACCACTTCTCATTTTGTGATGGTATATGGCCTAACATTCTTTAAAATAGTTGGTAATGCCGAATGTAAAACGGAGTCACATTGCTTTACTATTTCTGACACAATCTGATAAGGATAAAGTAAAATACAGTTTACTGTAGCTGATGCCCACTGCATATAAAGCAGTTTGCAACTTATTAGTCACTTTATTTATTCCACAGGGAACACATTGAAATAAAAAGTAATCCCTCTTGCACTTTGCAGAGATATAAACCGCATACTAATGGACAACTCATACTTTAACTCATTCGCTACGTATTATTTTCGGCTTGTGGACGAATTTTTTTCGGGAGGGCGAAATGAGATGATGACTAGTGCGCAGTTCACAGGTCTTGGGGGCCATAAATTCAAATAAATATCAACATATTATATACCAACATTTTCAGTATGGTTTGTAGAATACATCTGTATTATTTATTTGAGTATTTTTCAACTTTGGTTCCTGTAAGAGGCGATTATGCAACACAATTGTGATTGGCTGCGGATAAAATTTGAAAACAAAAAACTTATAATCTCAGTTGAAACTCAAAAAATATGTTTGCACCTAGTCAAATTATACATCAAAATAACCGTAACTGTATATAGAACAGGAAAATATTGAAAAATGAGCAGTTATTTACATACATTCCATAATATTTGTACATTTGGATCATAACCTCCGATATTGAAAAAAAAAAAAAAATGTTAAATAATTTTGAAAAAAGGATGCCAAACAGAAAAAAACACTCGTATCTTATATGGAATTATTCAGAATTGCATTTGGAATAAACCTATACATGTCTTGGATGGTACTTTTTGAGAAATTTCACCCAAAAGTAGGGATTTTGGAGAGAAAAAAATATTTTGACTATTTACATCTAGGCCTAGATCTAGCACTCAAAAATATTGATTTCTCAATTACAGTGCACTGGCAATTTGAGTCCAGTAGTATCAATATTATAAGAAGAGTCCTACACTTCTTTAGTGAGCAAAATAATGATACATTTTGTTGTGTAAAAGTACAAAGACTGGTGTCTGGCTATAATTTGGGATTCACGATAAAACAATGTCGCATAAACTTCGAAATCGTGTTTCAAAGCTGAATCAAAAATTCCGATTTTCAGTGGAAACGCTTGACCCGGAAGTCAACTTTATATTATGACCTTTATTTTAACATGGATATGTGGATTGGAATAGAAACCAAGCAAATATTGAAAGTCGGTTCTCGAGCCGCCGGGGGCGGATAAGCGTACTGACAGCACTCTAGCCGCGCCCCCCCCCACGGCTCGACGTAGCGAATGAGTTAAGAACTATATTATTGCTCTATAATTTTTTATATTTTTTTTTTCAATGCCTTTTCAATGTGCAAAAGTGGTCATTATCTTGAAATATTTAATTTAAGAGTAGTAGCATTAAATATTAAGCCTATATTCTTCATGCACTTTCTCCCATGGCAACTGAACTAGTCCTGTTGCAACACATGCTTCTATTATTTTTTTCAAGCGCATATGATAGTGATTATATGAATTCTTCTTTTCTGTTATTTCCAAACTATACTATTACTTGTATCTCTTCTCTCTCTCTCTCTCTCTTTCTCTCTCTCTCTCTCTCTCTCTCTCTCTGTCTCTTTCTCTCTCTCTCTCTCTCTCTCTCTCTCTCTCTCTCTCTCTCTCTCTCTCTTTTGCTTTACCTCTCATGAATGACAAGCTTAAACACCAATTCAAACATAGTTAGCAATCACACATTATCTCATGAAATATGAAAACCTATCTTTCTCACTAACATTAGGCTAAAGTAATTGCCTTTTGTTCTTCATTGTTCTATTTTGACTGGTAGAATCTCTTTTCCTATCTTTACTCTGGTACTGTTACAAGTGTCAGTATGTCAGCCCTGTGCTGGAATTGATTTAATAATACACCTATCATTAGTATTTTGCCAATAGAATAATAGAACAATCTGCGTCTGGTTTGAAAGTGCAAATTGCTCATCCATTCTATTTCCCTGGATGTTTTCTATCTAGAGGCTTTTTTAATCTGTCGCTTATGACCATCATTTTTGCAGGTTTGTTGTCTTCCTTAATTTGCACTTTTTTCTAATAAATTTTTTTTATATCTTTGTCGTACTCTTAATCTAACAGAACTTCATGCTTTAAAATCCAATAGATATGTAGTTTTGAGATCATGACATTCTTATACAGCATTATAAATGTTTTCAAAGTACTGGTATCTTTAGATGAGTGCTTTTTAACTTTTTAAAAGTTAGAAACACTTTTGGATCTTTGAAATCAAACTTTTCATTTGTTTTCGATCCTGTGTTTTCTTACTTCAGACATGTAAGACAATTCATCCAAGGAAAACCTTTCTGAAGCACTTCTTTTGGCACCTTTAAAATTATGTGGAGATGACAGAGTGGACAGGAGGGTTGTTTTTTTCAGCAACTCATGTAAACTATTTTGAGATACTCTGACCAATCTGCTGTAGGTAAAGGGTGTGTTTATCGACTCGAGAGCGGCCAGTGCACCTGCCAACCTCCTGCCCCGACACAAGCCTCTGCTGCACCACATCCAGGCTAAGGACCCTGTGGAGCTGGAGAACTGTGGCTATGTTAGTAACCCTGGATGATTTTACTTCCTCTCTGTGGTTGGGAGCACAGGGGTGGCATGCGTTGACTTTTAGCTCAGTGAGCTGATGCTGTACTTAGCTGTAAAAGGAGATTTCAGTTTTAGTCTGAGGAAAAAAACAAAATAGACAGGAACAATAGGGAAAGAAATGAAGTAGAACCTATTATGCGGAGATGACAGAACAGACAGGAGGTTGTTTTTTTTCAGTGATTGTAAACTATTTTGGGATTCTCTGTCAGGACCCTCTCCAACTACTTACAGAAATTTTCTTCTCTGTTTGTCTTGTTACCTAATTTATAATGGCCTTAACGCTTTTGTTAAAGAGAAGATGACACATCCAAATAAAAGAAAAAAGAATTAATGGGGGGGGGGGGGGGGGGGGGATGTAGTTTAGCGGTTGGTTTTGTGATCAGCACATTGAGTTATTAAAAGTGGAAATATGAGATGTGATATTTACTTTCTCTTGTAGAGACTTTTTTTGTTATAGGTATACACTTGTCTTGTTGGATAAGTGTTTTTATACATATTTTTTTCTCTCAGATTGTTCTCAGGGCAGAACTGGGTTCATTGTCTAACCCTCTATCACTTTCTTTTGTAGCAGTAGAGAGGTCTGCACATTTTATTATTGACATTTAGAAGGAAGCTTTTTTCCTTCCACTGAAACAGTTTTATTTACTTGTTTACTAAGTGACTTGCCTGCTATTATATTGTATGTCTAATTCTTTTTTGGGATGTGGGGAAAAAACAGCCAATTTATATTTTCACAATGATCAAATTTTTTGTATCTTTTTTTCCTTATGGCTTCCTATGGTCTTATATAATTTAAATCTTGTGTTCATATTTCTTTCTTATAGCAAGCATTTTTATTTCTAGTTTTCAATTTTCTAAATGGTACATGCAGTAACATTAGTCTCTGATAGTTTAGTTAAGCTTAAGCTCAACAAAAGAAGTTTTCGATTCATGTTAATTAATAGACTGCTTTTTATATAGTGCATTTTTGTTGTTAAAAGTTAACGTATCTAACAATTTTTAAGAATATATTTTTTCATGTTGTAGTTTTTACTTTATAGTTTTATAGTTACTGCTTCATTAAAAATCTTGTCTCATTCATATTAAGACACCTTTATGAAGTTACGAAAGGGTGTTAAGAACCAGTCCAAATGTTCTAATGTTTACTTGTTGTATTGATTGAAGGGACCTCGCTATATGAAGACAGAGACTCAAGAGAGGTTCAAGGGTCATCCGTGGCCAAGTGGTGAGTGCTTCACTTGCTGTTTAGTAGGTAGTCATGCTTTTTATCTATGGTCAACAAAGTTTTCTGGGCTTGTTACATCTGGCACATGGTGTCTGTGATCTAGAGGTTAGGCTCTCCGCTGTCGCATGCAGAAGACATAAGGTCTATTCCCATGTATGGAAAGTGTTAATGTCTTGTATCGCCATCATTCTCCAGTGATGCGGTGTCCTACTCAGCTGGGGTTTGAGTGGTTTGAGCGGGGTAGAGCGGGGATAAAAAGATGGTAATACTTTTTCTTAGCAGATGTGGTGAATGTTTCACACCCCTATCTCCACAATTTAGATAATTTAGAAGGCGAGGTTACTCGCTGCTGCAAAGTAAAAGTATCACCATGTATTTATCCCCACCATACCGTGATGAGATAACACATTATTCTAATTTTGTTTTATTTCACACTGTTTGGACAAGAGTTAATCTGATAATTCTATGGACTTTGAAAAAAGGTTGAAACAGGGCTATCTCTTTTGGCCCTGACTACGAGTATACTCATCTGTCTTATTTGATCTAGGTTGAGAGAAAACTCGTAACACATATGGTCATGTAGTTTATCTGTTAACAAGAAATAGAATTGCAGCTCTGCATAGCCCTAGTTGAATATTTTATTTTCCTCAGAAATATCAGTTTGTTATAGTTTCGAGTGAAATTTTAAAGTCATCTTGGTGTGTACGTTTAATGAGAGTATGTGTTGGTCCACAAGACTAGACCTGTGTTTATTGATCGCCTGCAAGCCTAGCACTTAACCAATACTAGCAAATTTGGTACCAAGTTTTTTTATGTGTTTAAGTCCCTGTTCTGAAGAATCAGAGCCAGTTGGTTAATGAGACTTTTATATAGCATCTTATATGCAACCAGAAACAACAGATTTTGCCAACTTCCTTGATGTCCATAGTATGACACAAAGCTGAAAATTTTGCACGGTTGTGATGTACCAGGTATGTTATAAGACAACAAAGGTGTTAAAGGACCTGAACAAGGATTTTCCAATCAGCTAGACTTCAGGGCAGAGGTAGGCCGGTTGGAAATGGAGAAGGAGCTTGTATGTGTATCTACCTGTGTTACCCTTTCCCTGCGCTAAACGACTGTTATTGTCTCCAGTTGATGTGAGCACCCGAGACGTAGGACCTCAAGAAGTTTCCGGGTTTGTCCACAACATCAATGATGAACCTGTGACCTATGAGCCCAGAATGGCACACGGAAATGAGAAGCCTGTAAGTTTGAATAATTTCACCACTTCACTGCCTGACCTGAAGGGTTCTTGGGCTGTTCTAGGT